TGTGTGTGTGTGTGTGGCCAGCTCAGCCCACCAGGGGGCGCGGCTGGCTGGCATGTGGTGCTGGAGGATTGAACCGTGGTCCCTATGCTTTGCCAGGCTTGTTCCAAGTAGGTGCTTTAGACCACTGAGCCATCTCTCCAGCCCCCCAGGCTGGTCTTGAATCTACAGTCTTCCTGTCTCAGCCTCCTGAGGAACTAGGGCTACAGGAACATGGCAGCTACCATGGCCAGCCCCCTTTCATTGCTTCTGTTTGTTGTCAAATTCTAGTAAGAGCAGTTAGGACAGCTAGGAATGGTGGCCAGTGCTGCCATATTGTTTTCATATGTTGAGCCAGCCTTATATCATGGAATAAATTCCACATGGATTATGGCATATAATCCTTTTAATATGATTAATATTAGGATTTTTTAAAGTCTTATTTATTTGATACAGGGTCTCACCACACAGCTCAGACTCTTAATGATCCTCCTATCTCAGCCTCCTCAGCACTGGGATTACAGGCATGTGCCACCACACCCAGTTTCAGTGGCTGGTATGGCGTGGGGCCAGCACAGCATGAGGTACCAGGGATCCAACCCAGGTCCTTGCACTTGCCAGGCAGGCACTTAGACCGCTGCGCTATCTCCCCGGCCCTAATGTTAGGATATTGATGAGGTTCAGTTTACTAGATTTTGTTTTGTTTGTTTCTAGTTTATCAGTACATGAGTGTTGATTACATTCTTTGTGTATACTTATTACATGTATATAACCATTCTTTTATCCCTTTTCTCCATCCATGTCCCTCTGTCGCTTGATCCCTCCTCCCTCTGAGAACACACAAGCTTCCTACTTCCCGTTGCTTGCTAATGTTTTTGCTATGAATTTTTGTCCTCAAGGTTGTTTGTTTTGTTTGGTTTTTGTGGAACCAGGGATTGAACTCAGGCCCTTGCACTTGCCAGGCAAGCGCTTATTCTACTGAGCCATCTCCCCGGCCCCTTGTCCCCAAGTTAACATTGAGAGGTTTCTGAGCATCTTTGTTAGGAAACAGAAGTCAGATGCTTGTCATGTGAATCCCAACTCTGCCACTCCACTCTTTAGATTGAGGCTTTTGGTGTCCTATCTGAGCCTCAGTATTTTCATCTGTAAAATGGGTTCATAAGAATGTACACTTCCTGGCAGTGCGAAGAAGATTCATGAGATTCATTTCAGCCCAGGGCTGGAGAGAGTTGTGATATATGAGTGGTATTTCCCATCTCCTTGCTGCACACTTGGGCTGTAGCAACTAATTCTTTTTTTTTTTTTTTTTTTAATCTGTGTGTGTGTGTGTGTGTGTGTGTGTGGCCAGCTCAGCCCACCAGGGGGCGGGGCTGGCTGGCATGTGGTGCTGGGGGATTGAACCGCGGTCCCTGTGCTTTGCTAAGCTTGCTGTAAGTAGGTGCTTTAGACCACTGAGCCATCTCACCAGCCCCTCTAGCAACTAATTCTTGCAACAAGCCTGTGAAGCAGTTGGTGAGGACCTTCATCTCATAGGGAAGGAGACTCCCACTGAAAGAGGAAGTGATTTCTTGAGAGCTCACAGCTGGGGAGTGGGGTGGGAGTCAGCATCAATCCCGGGCTCCCTAATATGGGAACACTGGAAGGAGGCACTCAGAAACAGGGGCTGGAAGCTGCGCGTGGTGGCGCTCACCTGTAATCCCGGCACTCGGGAGGCTCAGGCTACATAGTGAGTCCAAGACCAGCTTGCACTGCCAAGTGAGACCGAGTCTCAGAAAAACAAAACAGTGGTCAATCTTTCCAACAGTTTATGGCTACTTTTTTAATGCGGTCCTGGGAATTAAACCCAGAGCCTTCTCACTGAGTTATATTCCCAACCTTTAGTTATGTATTTATTTTTCTTTTGAGACAGGGTCTTACTATGTAGTTCAGGCTGGCCTTGAATTCTCTAGGTTGCCGATCCTCCTGCCTCAGCCTACGAAGTGCTGGGATTACAAGCATGCACCGCCATGCCGGGCTATTTTATTTTGTTTATCTTGGGACCAAGTTTCACCAAGGTGCCTGAATTGGGCGCAAGTTTGTGATCTTCCTGCCTCAGCCTCCCAGAGTGCTGGGAGTACAGGCATGCACCAGCATACCAGGCCAATTACTAAGTTTTTTTCAAGCGCACAGTGAAGCTGATAGACGTATGCAGTCACCCTCCCCTACATCTTCCCAGTAATTGTCACAGTGCCAGGGAAGCGCTTATTCTACTGAGCCATCTCCCCAGCCCCTCTAACGTAATCTTAATCCACAGGCCCCACTCTAAAATATCGTGCCATCGCTTTGGGAGTTAGAGATTCAATATCTGAATGTACAAGGGCTCCCGAGGACCCAGTCCCCAGCCACACGGCACATTTGCTGAGCTCTGCCAGCTGCACGTACTATGTGACTCCCGCCTCTGTCGCAGCCTGGCAAGCATTGCCAGGGAACATCCGCTCACAGCCCTGCTGCCCCTGGGAAACCTTCCCACCGTACCTTAGCGTTGGCTGTTTCGGAATGCCTCGGAAGTGTAACCACACTGCGCATGCCTCCCTAGCTGGCATCGTTCACTAGGGTTTGTCTGGGGTGTTTCTCACTGTGTTGTCCAGGCTGTCTGGAGCTCGTGGGCCCTAGGGGTCCTGCCTCAGCCTTCCTGGAGTGCTGAGATTGGGATTATAGCACATCAGCACATCCTCCCTTCTGCCCTTCTCTTCTTTCCTCCCCGCACGCCCTCTCCTTCCTTCTGTTGCGTGCTGGGGGAAATCCAGGCCTTGCATGGACCAGGCCTGCGCTGGTCCACTAAGCTACCCCAGGCCTCCCGCGGCCATGCTGGAGTGCCGCTGAGCCCAGGGCCTGGAGCCTGCAGGCGTGGTGTGTCTAACCCCTACTCCCTGCACAGGGGGAGAGGCTGAGCCACGCCGTGGGCTGCGCCTTCGCCGCCTGCCTGGAGCGGAAGCAGCGCCGGGAGAAGGAGTGCGGGGTCACAGCGGCCTTCGATGCCAGCCGCACCAGCTTCGCCCGCGAGGGCTCCTTCCGCCTGTCCGGGGGCGCACGGCCCTCAGAGCGCGAGGCCGGGGACAAGAAGAAAGGTGGGTGTGGGCCTTGCAGGGCGGGGGCCTCAGGCTGGGTGCATAGGGTCATCCGGGTGCCACCACAGTGTGGGTGACAAAACCCAAAAACCAGGCATGGTGGCACACGCCTGTAATCCCAGCCCTCGGGAGGCTGAAGGAGTTTCACTGTGAGTTCAAGACCATCCTGGGCTACAAAGTGAGCTCAAGGCCAACTGAACTGCTTAGACTCTGACTCAAAAAGACAAAAAAGTAAAGAACTGCCAACTGAGGGCACATAGAGGGTATGTTATTGTTGACAAGGAACCCTTCACAGTTTGCAGATAGTTCTTTTTTACTCTTTTTTTTTTTTTTTTTTGGGGCTGGGGATTGAACTCAGGACCCTGTGCTTGCCAGGCAAGCGCTTATTCTACTAAGCTGTCCCCTCAGCCCCACGTCTTGTTTTTATGCTGAGACAAGATCTCCTTAATTTGCTGAGGCTGGCCTTGCAACCCATGATTTTCCTGCCTCAGCCTCCCAAGTAGCTGGGATTATAGGCATACACTGTTGAGCCCAGCTGCAAATATTTATTTACCATTCACATGGCCTATTAGAATTAATAAAGAACTTTGACAAAGCCCAGCCAAGTGGAGCATGCTTGTAATCCCAGCACTCTTGACAGGCTGAGGCAGGAGGATCACAAATTCAGGCTCAGCCTGGTCAACCTAGCAAGTTAGTGAGGCCTAGTCTCAGAAAATTAAAAGAACTGGGGATGTATGTTGGTTCAGAGGCCCAAGGTTCAGTCCCAGTGCCAGACCCATTTATTCCTAGACACTTTGCCACAGTGAATCTACGAAGTGAGGTCTGATCTGCGACCTGGGTCACAGTGCTCAGCCTCCGCTGCACTCAGCCTGGAGGCGTTTGAACACACTCTGGAACAGTGCTTTGTCCGAAGAGTTGTTTGTCAAGCTTTCTTTGGATTCCAAAGCATTGAGCATTCACTACCTTAGCTGACCTTGTCGAGAGGCCCTGGGAGGTAGCCTGAGGATGTTTATCCCAGGTTCCTAGTCCAACTGGAGCCCAGAGAAGGGCGGGAACTTCCTGAGGTCACACAGTAAGAAAGAGCAGAGGTGATTTCCTAGTTCCGACCTCCCTGGGCTGTTGCCATGGCACTAGCCTGGCTCCTCATCACTTCATTCTGGAAGGTAGGAGAAGCAGCCCTAGGTGACATCCTTGTGAGCAGCTGTGGCGCTGATGAGGCCCTGATGCGGGGAGGAGTGTGTGTTTGTTAACTAGCAGGGGAGGCCTGAAGAGCCTGCCTCTTGTGGCAAGTGGGGAGACCAGCCCCTGCCCCCCATGCATACACATCCCAGGACAGAACAGCCCCAAAGTGGAAAGAGCCAGGCTGAGGGCTAGTGCAGTCTGGAAAGCTTCCCAGAGGATGCTGTGCGCCAGGCCAGGGCTGCTGTGACTCACTGCAGCTGGAGGAGGGAAGGAGACACTTGAAGTGGGAAGTTGGGAAATGGGGAAACAGAGGACAGAGGGACAGATAGAGGGTGCGGCCTTGGGACGGACAGATGAGGGCTGTGTTTGAAGCACAGATTCCAGAGTGGGCCCACCCCTTCCTAGGAGCGCAGTGGTGGCCACATCGCAGGCCTTTGCGGGACCCAGCTGTAAAATGCAGATGGTCTGAGTCTTGTGGCTCCTTGTGTGGACAGACAAGTTAATATTTACAGATCTCCTGGAACAATGCCCGATACAGTGTTCCTGAATGAAATAAGTGTTGGTAAATTACCAGAAAGGGAGAAAGAGTGTCCAGGGGGGAAATGATGATCCCCGTGCAGGAAGACGGAGCAGAGGCAGAAAGCCAGAGGCCCGGAGGGTCAGGTGGGGCCTCCTGGGGAAAGTGAGCTTGGCTTGGGTGGGGATGAGAGATGTGCCAGGCCTCTAACCAGCCTGCTTCAGGAAAGGACATCTGGCGAGGAAGGCAGCCTTGGGGAAGAGGGCCAGGCATGGTGGTGCACATCGGTAACCCCAGCACTCAGGAAGGCTGAGGCAGGTGGATTGCAAGTTCAAGCTCAGCCTGGGGAACTTAGCAACATGGCGGCTATCTTATAAAAGATTTGGAAAGGTAGTTCAATGTGAAGGTCCTAGCAGGGGACAGTGGAAGCACCTGCCTGCAATCCCAGCACTCAGGAGTCTGAGGCAGGAGGATTACTGCAAGCTCCAGCCAGCCTGAGCTACATAATGAGTTGAAAGCTTTGGTCTGACCACATAGCAAGACCTTTTCTCAGGAAAAAAAAAAAGTCTTAGGTTCCAATTCCAGTACCCGAGGTGGAGAAAATATGCCAGATGGGATTAAAAAAAGCCAAGGTGACATATCTAACCAGCTGTCTCCCTGTGTCTCTAGCAGAGGCAGCAGCAGCTCCCGCTGTGGCTCCTGGGCCTGCCCAACCTGGACATGTGTCCCCAACACCAGCTACCACATCCCCTGGTGAAAAGGGTGAGGCAGGCACCCCAGTGGCTGCAGGCACCACTGCTGCTGCCATCCCCCGGCGCCATGCCCCCCTGGAGCAGCTGGTTCGCCAGGGCTCCTTTCGTGGGTTCCCAGCGCTCAGCCAGAAGAACTCGCCTTTCAAACGGCAGCTGAGCCTACGGCTGAATGAGCTTCCATCTACGCTGCAGCGCCGTACTGACTTCCAGGTGAAGGGCACAGGTGAGCTCTGGATTCAGTGAGCATGCATATCAGAATCAGCACTCTCTTATGTGGGCAAGAGACAGAGGAAGGAAGATACATACTGTGATTGATCAGCACTGTCTTTGTCAAGGGGCAAAGGATAGACAAGTGGAATATATTATGATCAACAAACAATGTCATGGGCAAGAAATAGAAGAAAAATAACAGAAGTCATGATTGATTAGCCATGTCTGCTCATGGTAGAGGAATAGCAGAAATGTAGCCTGAATCATGATTGATTAGCAATGTCTACTCTGGTAAAGGGACAGTAGCAATATACTGAACATCATGATTAGTTAGCAAGATCTGCTCTAGGCGACTACATCCACTGTAGGCAAGGGAAAGAGGAAAAGCACAGATACCATTTTTGCTCAGGAATAGACTAAAACATCACAGTCTGATGCTTCTTTCAAGCATTGTATCAGTGGGATCGTAAGATCTTGTAAAGGCTAAAGGCATTTCTTAGAGTCAGGAAAGGGTTGTGATGGATTAGTAATGTCTATTCAAGGCAGGATGAATAGAAGGATGTGTCATGAGCAGGAAAAAGAGATGGCACACCACATGATTGATTAGCAAAGTTCACCATGGACAAGGAAGAAGAGAGCAGAGGTGTTATGTTTTCATAACAAGAGGAAAACTCCTCAAATTTGGTCAGTGGAGCCATGTAGTATGGCCAGGTAAGGGGTAAGGTAAGCAGAGAGCTCGGAGAGGGAAATAACCCTTGTGTTTGATTATTAATGTCTGCCACGGGCCAAGGAGAGGAGACAGATGGCATATGTCATGATCTCAAAAGCAGTGTCTGCTATGGGCTGGGGGAGGAAAGAGGTGTCATATTTTTGCCCGAGGGAAACTGGCGAGAGAGCTCCCTGCCCTCAGCAGTCCAGGAAGCCATGCCGTCTGGCCCACCCTCCCACGCCATATGCCAAATCTGGGACACCTCTCCCTTATAGCTTTGGGGACTGGTGTGGGAGGGTGTTGATTTGTATCCAGCAGGCTGGGCCGCTCCAAAGGTAACAGTTGAGCAGATGCCAAGGCATGTTGAGGATGACGCACTCACTCCGCATCCTACAGCATTGCTTGGCTGTCATACATTGTCACATTTTTTGTCCTCGTGCACACACTCAAGGCATCGCACGCGCTCTCTGAGAGGTGGACACTACTCAAGCGCTGTTTGGAAGCTTCACACTCCTGCAGCCAGCTACACACTTGATGGGATTCAACTTGCCACACGGAAATTTCAGACTCACGTTGATGTTATGCTCTGATGCTCGTGTCCCACATACGTGGAAACCACTGACTTAGAGTCATAGACACACAGAAATTTCACATGTGCAGAAGTTACATGTGTACCCTTACACACTCTCAAAGCATACATCTGCATTTGTAGCCTGGGGAGCCACACTCGCAGATCAAAGTACACCCACTCTATCACACAGGCGGACCACTTACACTTGCGGACACCACACACTTGAACTTCAGTCATACCGGCCACACCCTCACACACTGCATGTCTGGCCAGATACACAGTCATCGTGGACAGTGACCTGGACACCACATCCACCCAGCCTAGGCCCTCCTGTCAAACCACTGATTCCTACGACCACCTCTTTCCGGTGCCCTGGGGAGGATTCTGCATCTCCTCTTGGAGACAGTTACTTCCTAAAATATAACATTGTCACATGTCACACAGGACAGTCCTTTGCTTATTTGATAAGATGATACATTTTAAGCATCTCTTCTAGTCTGTGGCCGCTTGTAGATCTTGAGGTCCTTGGCTTGGGTCCCTGTCATCCATCAGGTCACTTACAGACTTGGCTGTTGTGCTGCTCAGGTGCCATATTTATGGCTGTGATCACCCAGTGACCTGCTGACCCACACACCTGGGAAAGGACAGAAGCCCAGGTTGAGGAGAAGGCCACTGCAGACACAGTAAGCAGGACTGGCTGTAGCGGGCCGGGCCTGTTTGCCAACCTCTACCTTTTCCTACCCCCCCCCCAGTGCCTGAGATGGAACCTCCTGGTGCCAGTGACAGCGATGGCATCAACGCCCTGTGCACGCAGATCAGTTCGTCCTTTGCAAGTGCTGGAGCACCAGCATCAGGGCCACCATCTGCCACAACAGGTAACCCCGCCCTGTCATCAGTCTGCAGACTGCATGAAGGGCAGAAGAGGGATATAGTGTCTGTCATCTCCGGGTCATCCCAGCTCCCTGCCCAGGGCTCCTGCTGCAGGCTTCATCTCTCACTGCCCCTTTGCTCTCTCCAGGGACTTCTGCTTGGGGTGAGCCCTCTGCACCCCCTACAGCTGCCTTCCAGCCTGGCCATAAGCGGACACCCTCAGAAGCTGAGCGGTGGCTGGAGGAGGTATCCCAGGTGGCCAAGGCCCAGCAGCAGCAACAGCAGCAGCAGCAACAGCAGCAGCAGCAGCAAGCAACCTCCGTGCCCTCAGTACCCACCATGCCACCTGCCCTGCAGCCCTTCCCTGCCCCTATGGGGCCCTTTGACACGGCACCTGCCCAGGTGGCCATGTTCCTGCCACCCTCACACATGCAGCCCCCATTTGTGCCCGCTTACCCAGGCCTGGGCTACCCCCCCATGCCCCGGGTCCCTGTAGTGGGCATCACCCCCTCGCAGATGGTGGCCAATGCTTTCTGCTCTGCTGCCCAGCTCCAGCCCCAGCCTTCCACTCTGCTAGGGAAAGCTGGGGCTTTCCCACCCCCTGCTGCCCCCAGTGCCCCCGGGGGCCAAGCCCGTCCACGACCCAACGGGGCCCCCTGGCCCCCAGAGCCGGCACCTGCCCCAGCCTCTGAGTTGGACCCCTTTGAGGCCCAGTGGGCAGCATTAGAAGGCAAACCCGCAGTGGAGAAGCCCTCCAACCCCTTCTCTGGTGACCTGCAGAAGACTTTCGAGATTGAACTGTAGCCCCAGATACCCGGCCCACCCTGGCATCCCCAGGTGTATTGTGACACCTAGGGATGGAGGCACAACCTCTCCCCTAGGCCGCTCCCTGAGGCTGCGCCCCTCAGCCTCCCCTTAAGCCCTTCTCTCCACCACCCCCATAACCACTACAGAACCAACATTGTAATGCCAAGGGCACAGCAGGATGGCATTCAGAGACGACCCGGCCTGGCTAAGGGAGCCGATTCACTGCCAGACTCAGGCTGGCCATGCGCCTCCACCCCCATGGGGGGTGCCCTCCGTTCCAGCTCCCCTTCCTAGTTTCTGTTGTTGGCCTTCCGCCTTCTGAAGTTGGGCAGGATAGAGGGGGACACCCACTTAGAGGCTGTCCTGGGCCCCACCTGTGGGCCTGGCCCAAGTCCAGGGTGCCCTCCCCACATACACAGCACAAGCTAAGGGCTCCCCTCTGCCCACACCGCGTTCACTGCCAATGCTGTCTCCCCACTGCCCGCCCCCTCTTCGGGGCCTGCGTCTTCTGGGGGCCATGGGGTCAGGGGCCAAGTTGGGGGTCCACGAGGTGGGGGGGGGAGGAAAAAGATGCTCAGTTACCTCACATCAGTGCCCGCTGGGAGGTGGTCCCGGAAGAGGGGAAAGGGTGCCTGGCGGGTACTTTTCTATCTTTTATTTCCAGATTTTTTTTTGTATCTAAACTTGCAGATTTGTATTATACAAGGACAGCCAATAAAGGAAAACTATAACAGTGTCCCTGGGGAAAGCATGAGGCTGGGATGGCGGGGGTGGTGGTGGATGGTGGGGCCTCAGAGCCTTTCCTCCTGACTCATCTTCTAAAACAGGAGCAGGAGCAGGGTCCCCCTGAGCAGCCGCCTGAGTCACAGCTGGGGAGCAGGTCCCACTGACTCAGCACACCACATGGGTGCTAAAGGAAGCCCGGGTTTAATTAGCCTGCTTCTGTTACAGAATCTGAACCAAGGAACAAAAGAAATTCTAAACTAGCACTAGTTGGTAGGTTAGCCACATTCTAAACCAGCTGCCATGGTGCCGACCTACAGTCTCAGCTACTTGGGAGATTGAGGCAGGAGGTTCGATTGAGCCCAGGAGTTTGAGGACATCCTGGGCAACAAAGTGAGCCAGACTCCATCCCAAAAACAAGACAATTAGGGGTAGGAATATAGTTCAGTGGCACAAGTGCCTGCCTGGCAAGCGCAAGGTCCTGACTTCAATTCCTGGTACCCAAAAACCCCAACAAAACCATTATGTTTTAGACCGTGCTGGTGAAGTCTTGTCAGTTATATTTTTCTGTAACTTGACATGGCAGCATACTGTTTTGAAGTCTGTTGTTTCTTGGGTCCCTTGATATAATGTATAAAATGTGTTTTTAAGAACACATAGTATAGCTGGGCGAGGGGGCACATGCCTGCAATCCGAACCCTCAGCAGGCTGAGACAGGAGGGTCATTGTGAGTTGAAGAACAGCCTGGGCTACAAAGTGAGCTCAAGGCCAGCCTGAATTACATTGTGAGACCCTGTCTCAAAAACAACCAAAAAAAGCATAGTGTAGCTGCACATGGTGGTGGAGTACCTGTAATCCCAGGTACTCAGCTGTGTAAGGAAGAAGGATTGAAAATTTGTACTCTTGGACCAGCAAGATAGCTCAGTGGACTAAGCACCTGCTTTGGCAAGTGCAGGGACCAGGGTTCAATCCCCCATCTCCCAAGCTACACCACCCTGCTGCCCAGGCATGCTGGGCCAGCGACTAAGTCTGCGTGTGGTGGCGCACACCTGTAATCCCAGCGCTGGGGAGGCTGAAAACAGGATCACTGCAAGTCCGAGCTGCAGTGAGACCCAGTACCAAATACGTAAAAGAAAATTTGTACTCTGCACCATATAAGGAGATCCTGTCTCAAAATAAAAAAAAAAAAACAAAACTTTAAAGGGTGGAGCATATAGCTCAGGGCTCCTGAGTTCAATCCCCAGTACTGCAAATTGACATAAATTATATGTTTAATTATTTATAGCTCTTTAAAATGAGGCAGATTATTTTGTGCAACTCAATATTCTGTCCTCATTCGACAGCTAGGCAAGTGGAGTCATTAGCCCAAGGTCAGGACAGCTGGTGGAGGGAGAGGACTTAAACAGAGCCAGTGTCCCCAAGAGTCCCCACTACAGCCTGGTAGCCTGCTCAGGAACCAGGGTGGGGGCATCTGCGACCCACAGCCCTTCCAGGGAGTGTGTGTGAGGCCCTGGGAAGGAGCAGAGGGCTCTTCTGGGGACAAGCCCCTCTAAGGCTTTGCCTGTGTCCCTTCGTTGAGACCTCGTGGGCCTTACAGAGAACGCTGTTCACGCCTGGAGCATCAGCTCCATCCCATCCTTCGAGTCTCTCTGGCCCTTCAGCAGGATCAGGAGCACCCCTTCCACCGTGGAGCCTGTGCCTCCGCGCGCACCGGACACCCGGGCCAGGCCCTGGCTCACTCCCCAGCTGTCTGTCTGCCCAACTGCGCTGGAGGAAGGAGTGGAGGGTTCTGGGTCATCCGGGTCTCCTCAGTACCCCCGCATTGCGCAAGGCACGGAGGAAACAGGTTCAGATGCTCACCTGCGCCAGTCGCAGGAGCCTGAGCCCGGCAGAAAGGGCCGAGACCCGGGGCTAAGGGTCGAGGAGGGCACGCTGCAGTCAGGGACAGAGTCGGGCCACCTGCCTGCCCCGACATTTCTTGCACGGCCCGTTCCCTGTGCCAACGCCGCCTATCCTGGGGCTGCCCCCTTCCATCTGCTCTGAGCCCACAGACCTGGAGTGACGCGCTAGCTCGGGCTTACCCAAACCTCGAGGCGACACCTCGGAAATGCAGGTCAGAGCCCCAGACCCGCGGGGGCCGCCGCGTCCCCCCGACGCCAGGGCTGCGCTTGCGTGGAGGTCTCGAGAAAGCCCCCACTCGCACCCGGCTCCCGCTTTTTGAAAAACTCCGCCCTGAGCCCCTATTCTCCCCCTCCCCCATCACCCCCAGCGGCAGCCACCACCACCACACGAGACCCACGACGCTTGCCGGGGACCCAGCGCCCCCTCGAGGCGGAGCGATGGGACTTCGAGGTTGAGCCACAGCCCGGGCTGCAGCGCCCCCTGGCGGCCCTTGGTTCGGGTGTTAGCCCGGCCCCAGCATGTGAAGGCAGGCAGGGACTTGGTGTCAAGAAGAAAATTATCTTTAAGCCCTGGCCCAGCAGGGTCCTTCTCTAGGAAGCCCTCCTGGGTTGCATCAGGGCCGCTCCTGGGCTTCTAGGCCCTGTGTGCCTGTCTGCGCCTCTGCCCCTGCTCCTGCCCCCACTCCATCCTAACCTCTGCCTGTACAGTCCCACCCTGTCCCTTCCTTAGCCCCCCTCTGTCTGGAATGGCTTTGGCTTTCCCACCTCACAGGGCACAGGAAGCACTATGAATGCAGGGACCAGGGCCGTCATGGTCACCACTTCTGTCGGCAAGTGAGGCTCAGACAGCCTGCCTCCCTCTGCTTCCTAAGTAGACAGCCTCCCTGGGGCGTTGCTCCCTCACACACGTTTTATTTTGTTTTGTTTAACAGCTTTATTAAGGTACGATCTACTTATCATAAAACTCACTCATTTCAAATGACTTAACAATTTGGAGCGATTTCACAGTTCAGCAGCCATCATCACAAGTCAATTTTAGAACAATAACATCGCGCTATGAAGATGTCTTTTGCTTGTGCGCACAGCCACTCCGGGTCCCACCTCCAGCCTCCGGCAAACGCCGAGCTACTTTCTGTAACATGTGCATTCTTTTCATCTTAGAAGAATTTTCCAAATACTTTTTATCAGCTGCTGTGTGGAGAGGCTGCACAGACACACGCAGACCCTGCCTGCAGGGAGCTCAGGTTCTTCCCTTTGGGGCAACAAGGAGGGGGAAATACAGTGTCGTAAGTGTTCGTAGAGCACGTACCATCTGCCAAGGAGAGGTCCAGGACCCAGCAACACAGCAGAGGGGTGAGGGGAAAGATAAAATCCCCGCTCAGCTCGTCTCTGCCAGAGCTGATGCTCCCCTGAGAGGATGAGCAGATGTGCGCTATGAGATGGCTGCTTGGGCTACGTGTGGTGAAGACCGCCGAGGCACACGGGAAGGAGCCGGGGCACTAGGTGAGGGTTTAGACGAGCTGCTCAGGGAGTGCCTCCCTGAGGCTCTGAGACGGGCACAAGCCATGGGTTGGTGGACTGCAGGAGCCAGGAGGGCATGAGAGGTGAGGGGGGAGAGAGAGTACAGTGGGCTACCTCTATCGGGCCTTAGTAGCCACTGTAGGAGTTTGCTTTCTTGTCTACAAATAATGCAGAGTTCTGGCAGGGTTTTCAGCAAGGAGACTGGAGCTGATTCACTGGTCAGTGTTATGGTTTGGAGCTGGATGGCCCAGAGGCTGGGGCTTCTGCAAGGGGGATGGATTATTCAGAGGCCACAGCTGAGGTAGAGTCTGATCTGAAGAAGCAAGGCACTATGGGTGAGACGTAGAAGTGGCCATCTTCTTTCTTGGCCCCTCCCTTGATGCCCTCCACTTCCTGTCACCATGAGGTGAGCAGAGATTCCTCTACCCTGTTCCTGTGCCACAGCTGTCCTGCCTCGGAGCCAGCTGACCTGACCAGTGAATGACATGGGAGCTGAAATGCACCTCTTCTTTAAGTTGTGGGTGTCAGTTGTGGTGGCTCAACGACAAGAACGGTGACTGGGACAATGAGATTTGTTCCAGCGGCCACAAGCAGAATGGGTTGTAGCATGGGAAGAAGGCTCCTGTGAGGAT